TATATATATATATATATATATATATATATATATATATATATATATATATATATATTAGTGAGTTTTTGACCAAATGGATGTTTTTGAAAAAATATTTACTAAGGAGTATGCTTTTAAAAGTATTTACTAAATAAGGTGTTTTTGAAAAAACTATTGGCCATAGCTCCATTGTTTCACCTGTCGCACCACCATCATCAGCAACAGCTCCAGCTTGCCTTACCATACGATAACGCCTCCACATTCGAACACATCGGCTGGCGATTTCATCTCAGATATGATTTTTTACATTGATTTTTATAAATTCAACATTGATTTTGTGACTCCATCGACGTCTCTATCATGTTCTCGCTTGATTATGTTCGAATTTTGAACCTTTTTATCTGCATTTGTGAGCAATTGTTGAGATTTTCGTTGAATATACTTAGGTTTTGATTTTTTAATTGAGTATACTAGGTGTTTAATTGGTATATTGGATTGAATATACTTAATTAGATATACCTACAGGTTATAACAAATAATGAATTATGAGTTTGAATTTTGGTATAGAATTTTGCTTATGTTAGATTGCTTAGGTTAGATTTATGAGAGTTCTGATTTTCAATATTGCATTGATGTTGTTTTCTAATTGCTTCAATGTTGTTTGTTTCTTGTATCAAAATTCCAATTTGAGTTTATGATTATAATTGATGGTAGATGTTTAATTATTGATTTTGAATTTTGTTTGTTGATGTTGTTTGCTAATGTTGTTTTTGATAGATAGATGTTAATTTCGTATCAGACATTAAAGCATGAAAAAATATGAACATTTGTGGAATTTGTAATAAAAATGGTCACAATTAAAATTAAAAAATGTTAGTCTAAGAGAAGGTAAGTGAAGACAAATTCAACAACCATTTGGACTTCATATCCTTTTTTTTTTTTTTTTTTTTTTAATCTTTTTGTTTTTGTAGATAGTGCTTATTGAATCAAGTTATTCCAAATGTTTTTTTATTTTATTTTGTTTTTCTTGTAAGGAAGAGATTGTTGGTTTTGTTCCTAAAGCATTATACCTACAAATTAGTTTTAATTTAAGATGTTTTTGTTTGCTTGAATTAAAAAAAAAATCGTTTGTTAGTTTTTGAAAGAAGTTGGTTTAGATTAAAAAAAGGTTGATAAATAAATTCTTGCTTATATCATGTTTGTAAATTTTTTTGATAAACATTATTAGTAAAAAGTTACATAAAATTTAAGAAAAAATATAGTAAGAATAGTAAAACCAGTTTTGATAATATATAAAAATTTGAAGCTATAACTATTTGGTAAATATTTTAAAACTATATCTATCTCCTATTTTTTTTTTCAAATACATCATTAAAAAAAGTCCATTATTAGTTATGTAATGACCATTATCACAAAATGACAATCTTTATATAAAAACTAGGGGTATCATGCCACCACTTCAAGAATAAGGGATTATGGTGACGAAACAATGACTTTTGTTATCGCCACACATAAGTGTAAAACGATGATATATTATCACCATACAGTTGACTAGACAAGTTTGACCTTTTAAGTTACAACGTCGATAAGTCTCAATATGTTAGGCGGAAAGAAAGTAAAATATGCATGTTTTTAAAAATCAAATAGAAGTAGAAAGGACTCATTGATTCTCTTGATCCTCTTTGAATTCTAGTCCGAAGTTCTTGCAAAAGCTCCTAAGAATCACCCCTGATAAACCACCTTAGGAGAGTGTGTGTCCAAAAATGAAAGGAAAGAGTTGGGTGTGACCTTTATGTTCGTTTCATGTTTAACCAAATCTGACTGCGACGCGTCACATAACTCTGTCCGGATCATAATTTTTGCTCACCTATTTACACTATACATTGTCCTTTTTGTAATTGGAAATGATGGAATAAAGAGCATAAAAGTATAACCGCTTTCAAGCAGGCTCGACCCCAACGGTGGGCAACTCGACGGTCATCTAAGGCACATGTCTTTAAGAGGCCCAAAATTCCTAGAGTATATAATATAATTATATAGAGAATTTTATATTTGTGTTTGTAATGTTTGACTATATTTGTGTTTTTCAATATTAATAGTGAATTTTATAAAGATATGTCCATTTTTTTAATGTAATTTTTATTTATAGATGCTTATTATTATTATTATTATTATTATTATTATTATTATTATTATTATTAATAATCTTGAGCCCATTATGAACAGACTTCGCTTTCAAGTATCATTTTTCTATATACTTTAAAGGCCTTTTATGAGTCTAATTTTGTAATCACATAATTTTACTTTCAAAAATCAAAAAAAAAAAAAAAGGTTTGACAATTATTGGTGAGAAAGAAAATCACAAGTATCTTTTTGTACTTATCTAATTCTAAAATTATGTTGGGAGAGATATTTTGTATAAGAGTATAGGATCGAAAATCACAAGTATTTTTTTTGTACTTATGTAATTGATAAAACTGTAAAATTGATCCTTATGGTATTTAAAAAATTATGGATAAGGTCCAAAATATTTTTAACTTGCATTGACAGTTCAAAATCAAGAATTTCCTATGGTTTTGGTCGATAAAGAACTTGAAAAGACCGTTTTGCCATTTTTATTTATTCATTGTATTTTTATATATATTTTTTAATAATTTATTATTTAAAATTAAAAATAAAAGAATTAGGTCCATCCCTCCCCTTCCCCTACCGATGCTCTCTCTCTCTCTCTCTCTCTCTATATATATATATATATATATATATATATATATATATATATATATACATCTCTTCTTCTTCTTCTTCTTCAACACATGCATATGCTCAAAATAAAAATAAAATAAAATCTCATTGGTAACATACTCCCCCTTTATCAGACTCTCTCTCCTATCTTCTTCTTCCTCACCCTCACCTCTAAATCAAGCTTATCTCAAATCGATGACATCAGGAAGAAACAAATTGATTTATGGGTTTTCATGACTGAAACAAATAGTAGGTGGAGGAATCGACAAAAGATCTAATGAGAAAATGTCGAGATTTGGATCAAGAACGACTATATATATCTCTATCTCTTTGTTTGTTTCTTTATTTCTCTCTCTCTCTCTCTATCTCTATCTCTATTACTCTATCTCTCTTACTCTTCCTCTCTCTCTCTCTCTATCTCTCTCTCTTACTCTTCCTCTCTCTCTCTCTCTTCATCTTATCAAATGGAAGACCTGTAGGAGTTTGAACTGATGGTCTGAGGAAGTTGATCGACTTTATCGAATCTGATGAACTTGTCAGATGTGTGTTAATATACCTTGTTATGGCAACGAGAATGGAAGATGCCTCTTGATTCATCTCTAGAAACTATGCGAATTTTGATTTTTTGGAAAGGATCGATCCCCAACCAATATCCTACCAGTTCATGATGGATGTGGACGCCGATTCCCCATTGAAGATACCGATTTGGAGATGCATAACGCCCACGAGCCATGCATTTGGTTTATGGAAGGGTATTTGATTTTGTTTTGTTTTGGGTTGGTTTATTTCGGTAGATTTTTTTTAGCTTTGATTATGGAGGATTTGTGATTTTTGATGTCATTTCATTTGATTTGGCGGTGGCCGGTGATGGCCCTTCGGAGGTGACGGAGGGAGAATGTAACCACCATTGTTGAAATTTCAAAATGCAGAAAGTAAAGGGCTTAAAAAAGTGATTTGAGAGAGAGAGAGACCCTTCCTTCTATTTTTTTAATTATAAAACAATTAAAACAAATAAATAAAATGTGAAAAATAAATAATAATGGCAAAATAGTCATTTCAAAATTTCAAGGATCAAAACCAAAGAAAATTATTGATTTTGAACATTTTTTTCAAATTGAAATTTTTTTAAACTCCATTCAAAGTTTTTTACAAACTAGTGTGTTTGTAATTCTAAAATTACGTTGGGAGATATATTTTGTTGAGGAGTGAGTATAGGACTAGACCTCCCCAAATTAAATAATCAATAAGCATGACCCGACATAATATCTTCACGCGACCCAACACAATGATTTAACCCGACCCGATCAAGCTTACTAGTAGCTCCACTATGTCCTCGTAAAACCCTAAAATCGGACAACTCACCCACCATATATATTCATCTGTCATTCCCCCCAAATTCTTAGAAAGAGCGGGAAACATACGCAAACATAGATTACACCTTAAATACACTCACTTCAGTTTCACAATCGCATTTTGCGGAGCTTGTTAAAAATGGAGAACATGATCGATCAAGATCAACAGTGGCTGATCAACTCTCTGAATGCTACTCTTGATACTAATCAGCAAGCTCGATCTTTCGCAGAGGCGTCTTTGAATCAGGCGTCCGTTCAACCTGGTATGTTTATAATTCATTTATGAATTTTTTTGATATACCAGGTTGTGTATATCTTATCACTGCTGGAATTATTCTCTTTCTACTGTTCAACTTTTTGGACTTAAGGTCCATCGTGCTTTATTAGTGTTTAATTGTCGGATAGTAGTAATTAGGAGAAGAATCTTGGATTATTAGTATTACAATTTACAGGTTCGTAAACAAGAAGCTAATATGTGATTAGAAAGAGAAAGTATAAGTCTGTTTCTTAAATTGTTCTTACAGGCTGGCGATTCAAGAGACGTTTTAACTTATATGTAATTGGCAACTCTTTTTGCCACCAAGCTTTAGGGATCTTTGAACTCTGGTGATTAAAATTAACATTTTGCAAAATTCAAGTGATTCTGACAAACCTTTGTTTATCAATTGGCTTGATTGTAACAACCAAAAATTGTTAACTCATCTTGATTAAATATTATTATGAATCAAATTTACATGGCTTGTTATTAACAATGACTGTTATTGCAAATCTTTGAAGGTTTTGGAAGCGCCTTATCGAAAATTGCTGCTAACAGGAATCTTCCTCTAGGATCTCGCCAAATATCCTTTTGCCATTGCTGAAAAAGTTATACACTGTCTTCCTTTTATTAAGTTGGTTGTATGATTCTGGTGCCACATTATTTACCTAATGCTCAAAATTAAACAAAGTTATGAGGTTTTCTTGTATAATGATACATTTCAAATTGTTACCCTTGTGAGACTTAACCTGTGCTTTTACTTAGCTGCAGTTCTTCTTAAACAGTTTATTAAGAAACACTGGCAGGAAGACGATGATGGCTTTGAACATCCTGTTGTTTCAAATGAGGAAAAGGTCACTGTCTTTTTGGAGTTATTATTTTCACTATTTGAATATTCCTAATTATATGCTTTTTCCATTATCAGGCAATTGTACGTGGTCTTCTTTTGCTTTCACTTGATGACCCTCATCGAAAAATCTGCACAGCTATTAGTATGGCAGTTGCATCCGTGGCGTCTCATGATTGGCCAGATGAATGGCCTGAGTTACTCCCATTCTTAATGAAGTTAATTAATGATCAAAGTAATACAAATGCAGTGAATGGGGCTCTTAGATGTTTGGCTCTTCTCTCTGCTGATTTGGATGATAAATTAGTGCCCAAAATTATACCAGTTTTGTTCCCATGTTTGCATGCTATTGTTTCATCACCTCAGGTCAACTCTATTTTATAATTTTTAACTTATAAGTCAAACTTTCCATTTATGTGAGGCTTTTTTTTTACAGATATATGACAAACCATTGCGCACAAAGGCTCTTTCAATAGTCTATTCTTGTACATCAATGATAGGGGTTATGAGTGGTGTGTACAAGGTACGTTATTTCTGGACACTTTCAATCCCTAGGGTCAAATTTGTCATTTTATTTGCTTTCTTTGATGAAAAGAATATATATTTTTAGACAGAAACAAGTGCATTGATGTTACCATTGGTCAAATCTTGGATGGTTGAATTCTCTTCCATTCTTAAGAATCCTGTTCAATCTGAAGATCCAGATGATTGGAGTATCAGAATGGAGGTATTTATTCATTTCTTTTAATTTCTTTTTTGCATATTCTTTTAACCGAATGTAAACTCACTTTTCACTTTCTATTCCTCTATCAGACATTAAAGTGCTTGGGCCAATTTGTTCAGAACTTTCCAAGCCTAGCAGAAAGTCAGTTCATGGGTATGTTTGTCTTTTTCCATTGTCTCCCTCCTGCCCCGTCATCACTGCTATTATTCATAAAACTTAAAAAGATTGTTTTTTTTTCAGAGGTTTTGGTTCCATTATGGCAAACATTTGTGTCATCTCTTGTTGTATATGAAAGATCTTCAATTGAAGGACTTGAAGATTCATATGAAGGAAGATATGATTCTGATGGCTCAGAAACAAGCCTTGAATCCTTCATCATTCAAGTAAAATTTTTATTTGTATTTAATTATTTATAGCTGTTGAATAACTTCTGCTGTGTTTAACCTTTAATATCTTTTTATCTTTATCTTTTCTTTTGTTTTGTAGTTGTTTGAGTTTCTATTAACGATTGTTGGTCATAAAAAGTTTGTAAAGGTAAATAATTTTTTTTACTCATTACAAGATTTCAATACATGATATATGATATGATAATCTTTCTACATTTATTTTCAGGCTTTTGGAAATAGTATCCAGGATCTTGTCTACTATTCAATTGCCTTTATGCAAATGACTGAACAACAGGTAACTAACTTACATAATGTCTTATTTAGTAATATTATAACAAAAGTATTGTTTAAATAATTAATATTAATTTACGTTTTCTATATCCAGGTCCATGCTTGGTCAATGGATGCTAATCAATATGTTGCTGATGAAGATGAAAACACTTACAGTTGTCGAGTTTCTGGTATGCATTTTCACTCATTTCCAATCCCTTTTCTTGTTTTTTCATCATTTAATATTTAAAAAAAATAACCATTATTTCCACAGGCTCACTTTTGTTGGAGGAAATTGTAATTTCTTGTGGAATTGATGGAGTTTATGCAATATTAAATGCTGCTAAACAAAGATTCGATGAATCTCAACAACAAAGGCTCAAACGCTCTGCTGATTGGTGGAGGGTATGCCTGAGTAAAATTTTTTTATATTATTTTATTCAAATCAAGCCACTTTATATATTTTCTTTATCATATATCTTTTTAACAGATGAGGGAGGCTACACTTTTTGCTGTGTCATCTGTATCAGAACAATTGCTTGAAGTTGAGGTTATTACTGTTTTCTTTATTTTTTAAAATCTAATGAAGTTTATTATTAATAAAATCATAATATAATAATATATTCTCAGGTTTCTGGGCCTTCAGGGGTCAATTTAGGAAACCTGTTGGAACAAACTTTCACTGAAGACATGGCATCAGGTAGAGTTTCAGTTATTTCTGTTATATCATTAACATTCTTAATTAATCACTATTTTTAATGCAGGTGTACATGAGTTTCCTTTTCTTTATGCTCGTATGTTTTCATCAATTGCTAAATTCTCATCAGTGGTAACTATTATTCTGTTAAGATTATTCATGTCCTTAACAACAATATTCTCATTTATATTTTATACTTTACAGATCAACAATGCTGTTATTGATCATTTCCTCTATGCTGCTATTCAAGCAATCGGCATGGACGTGTAATTATTATACCTTTTTACCCTTTTACACTTCATGTTTATAATTATTATAAATTTTATTTCCAGCCCTGCCCCTGTCAAAGTTGGTGCATGTCGCTCCCTTTCTCAACTCTTACCAGATACAAACAGAGGAATACCTCAGCCTCATATATTAGCTCTATTTTCATCACTCACAGAGCTTCTAAAACAAGTAATATAAAATTTTAAAATTTATTTTATTCATAAATTCAGAAATTCGTTTGTTAAACATGCAACACTTTCCAGGCATCCGATGAGACAATGCATCTTGTCCTTGAAACACTGCAGGCAGCTGTGAGGGCAGGTTGGTAATTTTGTATTTCTTTGTTTAATTTCTCATTTTTCTAATGGAAGTTTTTTATTTTTTTTTTTATTGTAGGTCATGAATCTGCATTATCCATAGAGCCTGTTATTTCTCCTATTCTACTTAACATGTGGGCTCTACATGTTTCTGACCCTTTCATAAGCATTGATGCACTTGATGTTCTTGAGGTAATTAATTTTATTAAAAACAATATTTTTAAAATATAAAAATATTAAGACATTATTACTTTGGTTTTAACAGTTATTATTTCATAACAGGCAATTAAAAATGCTCCTGGATGTGTTCATCCTCTCGTTTTACGCATTTTGCCATACGTGGGACCCATCCTCAACAAGGTACGTTTGGTCAAATTTTCCTCAAAATAATCTCCTAAATTAGTTTTGACTTTTTGACTTTTTGGTGTTTTTTTTTTCAGCCTCAACAGCAGCCTGATGGTTTAGTTGCTGGTTCTTTGGATCTTTTGACAATGTTACTGAAGGCAAGTTATATAAATTTACTAAAATACCCTTTGTTATTACATATTTGTATGACTTATTGGCTTTCGATATATCTAGAATGCACCTACTGATGTGGTGAAAGCAATTTATGAAGTGTGTTTTGATCCGGTTGTACGTACAGTTCTTCAAAGTGATGACCATGGTGAAATGCAGGTTATATACATAACATTATAACAAAATTTCCCTTTTTGCCCATAATCCAAATGACAATTTTGCCCTTTCGGAAATCTCATTTTTTTAGTTTCTGTTCATTGAATCAGAATGCAACTCAATGTCTTGCTGCTCTTGTTTCTGGTGGACAACAACAATTGCTCACATGGGGTGGTGATCCTGGTTTCACAATGAGATGTTTACTCGATGTAGCTTCAAGGTTAATACATGACACATAAAACTAAAAACTTTGACTTTTTTGTTATAAGTCAACATTTAATTTTGACTTTTTTTGACAGGCTTCTTGATCCAGATCTAGATAGTTCTGGATCCCTTTTTGTTGGGAACTATATTTTGCAACTTATTTTACATTTGTCCTCACAAATGGCACAACATATTTGGGATCTTGTTGCTGCTCTTGTTAGGCGAATGCAATCTTGCCAAATTGCTGGATTAAGAAGCTCATTACTTCTTATATTTGCAAGATTGGTAATTCTTATTATTATCATATCATTATTATTAGGGTATATTACATTTTGTTGTCTCTGAGGCTAGGATTTTATTTATTTTTCTTATTTTTTTGCATATTTGGTCTACAAAAGTTTTTCTATTGCAATTTCGCCTTATATGAGGTTCTTATAATGTTTTTGGTATCTGTTCCAAGTAAAATGACTTTTTGTTGATTTTTGCAATTTTGGTCCCAAAATTAGTCATTTTACTTGGATTAGGGAACAAAGACATTACAAAAACCTCAAATAACAAAATTGCAAAAGAAAACATTTTAGGATCAAAATTGTAAAATTAGCTATACTTGGGGACTAAAAATGAAATTTACTCATTATTATCATTATTAGAGTAGTTTTAAAAAAATAGTTTTGGCCTTAAAAGTAGTCATTTTACTTGATTAGGGGACCAAAACTGTTACAATAACCTTATACAAGGACCAAAATTGCAAAAGAAAACATTTTGGGAACAAAATTGAACAAATAGCTATACTTGGGGACCAATAATGTAAATTACTCATTATTATTTTAGAGTAAGTTATATTTTTGGTCCCTGCGCGCATAGTTTGGTTTTTTTCTTTTTTTTTTTTTAAAAGATTTTGGTCCCAAAAAGTCTTCACGGGCAATTTTGGTCCTTATTTGAAATTTTTGTAATGTTTTTAGTCTCTCTATTCCAAATAAAATGACTTTTTTGCACCAAAATTGCAAAAAGAAACTATACTCATACAAAATATAGTCATTTACTTGGAACAGACACCAAAAATGTTAAAAAATCTACAAGAGAACTTTTTGGTACCAAAATTGCTAAAATCAGCTACACCCAGGGACCAAAAATGTAATTTAATCTTAATATAGTTTTATGAGCTTATATTTTTGTTTTTGTGACACAGGTTCACATGAGTACACCACATGTTGACCAGTTTATTAATTTACTAATCACAATCCCCGCTGAAGGCCACACTAATTCTTTACATTATGTGATGTCAGAATGGACCAAACAACAAGGTGAATATTATTTTTCATTATTTGTTTATTTATCGCAATTAAAAAAATCTAATAAAAAAAAAATTTGTAACTCATTACACAGGGGAAATTCAAGGAGCCTACCAAATTAAAATCACAACAACAGCTTTAGCCTTGTTATTATCAACCAGACATGTTGAATTTGGAAACATCAATGTTCAAGGCCATTTGATCAAATCATCAGTAGGCATCACCACACGTTCAAAGTCCAAAATTTCTCCTGATCAATGGACATTAATGCCCCTCCCTGCAAAGGTTCTTTTATAAATATTATATTTTATTTACCTTTTATATTTTCGATAATTTTTTTTTTTTTTGAATTTGGGCAAATGTAGATTCTTGGTGTGCTGGTGGATGTGTTGCTTGAGATTCAAGAACAAATTGGAGAAGAAGACGAGCAGGTAATTTTGATAGATTTTTGTGAAACTATAATATGCGTTCAATATTATTACAAATTTGTGAATTACGATATTGCCCTTGTAGGAAAGTGACTGGGAAGAAGTGGAAGCAGGTGATGCTGAAATAGAGCAAGACTTGCTTTATTCAACGGGTACTACATCGTTTACCAGACCTTCAAATGGCTACCTTGATGCCATGGCAAAAGCTTTCAATGAGGTCAAACTGAAAAGTCAATATATTTTTTACAAGCTATTTTTTACATGGACTAATAAGTCATTTTACTTAACAGGATGATGATGATGGTTGTGATGATGAGCTACTATGTGCTGCTGATCCCCTTAATGAGGTTTACTTTTATTCAAAAATAGAAAAATTCATGTTTTATTTTTTCATGACAATTTACTTTCTGTTTGGTAGATTAACTTGGGGAATTATCTCACCAACTTTTTTCGGGAGTTCTCTCAGGGAGACAAGCCTCTTTTTGATCATCTTTGCCAGGTTTCATTTCTTTACTTTTTTTATTTTTAATTCCCATTTTGCCCTTCTGGTTTATTAATCTCTGATTTGTTGTAATGGTTTCAGAGTTTGACACAGGCTCAGAAAAAAGCTGTACAAATGGTTGTGAGTCGATAATTGTACCCTTTGATATTAATTGATTTTTTTTTCTTTTATAAATTTGTATGTATTCGGGGTGATAATGTAAACATCCGAGTTTGTACATTGCCGGTTTTTCGTTTCTATTTTTTTTTGTGTCCTTGAGTGTTGGTATACAGAGTGTTGTTAAATTTATTTGGGTAAATGTAATCATTGAAATTGTGCACATCTCTATAAATCTGCCATGTTTTTTTATTATTATTTAGAATTAGG